GCTGATTTGACCTTGTTTTTATCAACAAATCTCAACAAGATCTTTTTAATCTGTGGTTCTTTTGTCGTAGTATTGTGATTAAAATTGTCTTTTGTTGTCCAAACAAATTTACATTCCCAGACTCAGACTCAGATTCAGTCTCAGACTCCACCACTTTATAATTTGGCAGCCCCAAAATACAATAAAATCAATTCCGCAACTCCATGTACGAGTACGACACCAAGGAATCATTTCAAACCCTTTCCAAAACAATTCTTCTCCTCCTCCCTATAAAATTTCACAGTCGAATTAACAATCATCTCTCTTTCTCTCTCTCTGAGAGAGAGACGACACACATGTAGTAGTGGTAGTAGTATTATATACACCGACAGCACCAATCCAAGTTACTCGAGCGTGGATATAATAAAACTCGTATAGTTGTAAGCAGAATTAGGCATAAAAGACAGGTTGGGTTTTTATTGCATGGAGAAGAACAGGTAGGTGTCTGGGAAACTAAAATCTAGCCGTGTGAGAATTGAGGAAGGTACTGACCCATATCGAAATTCGGTGGTAGTGTTTCTTTACTATGTCAATTGTACATAGGGAGAAAGAGAGACAGACACACCGGGGTCACATGATACAACAAGAACCCAAAACCAAAAGGAATCGGAATGCTACGAGGACTACACAAATAGACGAGAGGGACATGTGGGTCAGAGAAGGGGGGCCTATCTGTGGGGCCGGATGGATGGTAGGGCCTGCTACCCACGACACGAGTAAGGTCCCAACTCTCAACCTCAAAAAGCCACCCCATCTGGGCATCTGGTCTGCAGCTCACACTCCCTTAGGAGAATTTCTTTCTTGATTCTTCCCATTGGCAATTGTGCAACATTGGGCATGTCAAAGATTTTCTTTTCTTTTTACTACTAAAGAAAGAAAATGAATAGTAAGAGAAGGACTGGACTGAGGGACCATGGAATGACTAAACTCATTGGTTATCATTCTCTTATCTATGAATTGTTAATAAACTCCAAAAACTTGAAGCAGATTAAAAGCATTTAAAAAAAAAAAAAAAAGCAAACAAAAATCAAATTGGTGCCCTTTACAGGATCCATTACACTTTACTGAATTGTGGTATGTGAATCAATCCAATCCAGCAAATTGGTGGGCTCCATAGCCCAGAATTATAGAGATTGGGACAAGATTGATTTTTGAAAGGATAGTGTTGATGGGCCGGTTGAGAGAAAATTAGGGCATTGATCATCATCCATCCGTAGGCAGAATAAAGTGGGGCCATCAACTGTTACAATTTGACTTGGGACATCTTCTAGATGGCAGCAACCACCAACCTACTGAATGGTGGATATGGACTCGCGGTATGCGTGCACCACATGTCCACCTCTTGTTAGGCTGTGGGCTGCCATGGTTTTCCATCCAAGTGTTGGCCCATGCATGGAATGGTCATGTAGAGCGTAGACTATGAACATCCGACCCAAACTTCAGTACCCATCAACAAAAGTCTCCATAAAACTAAATTAAAAAATAATCTACCAGAGAAACTCAAAAAGTTAACACGAGGAAAATGAGAAAAGCGCAAAGTACAATCTAGCCCAACTTTCAGGTCTAATTTCCTATTAAGAACAGTCAATTTACATTTAGGGTCCGCTTGGTTTGCAGTCGGAATCTGAATCGGAATAAAAATCGAAATCTCCTTCGGAATTGGAATTAGAATGGTTTATTCCAATAGTTTGTTTCATTCATATAGGAATGAGAATAGGAATTAAAATCAATAGGAATGAGATTTTATTCTCAAGGGAATAGCAGGGAATGACCATTCCCTCAAATAGGAGAATGTTATAACAGCAAGAATAGGAATGGGGTTCCGATTTCGCCCACTCAAACAGTTGGAATCAGAATAGCCTGTTCTGATTCTGATTCCGATTCTAAACCCCTATTCATGCTAACCAAATGGGGCCTTAATATGTAAGATTAAAATCTAATTTAGGGTTAGTTTGATTTTGCGAGAATAAAGTCTAGAATCAGAATCGGAATGGGTCATTTCCATTTCAACCATTTGTTTGGATGGAATCGAAATTTCATTCTCATTCTCCCATTTGAGAGTAGGGTTGTTCATAAGAAGGCCCAACCCGACCAAACCGACCAACCTAGACCGACCCAACCCGAGTCGGCCGGGTTTTCATCAGCACCGGTCGGTTTCGGGTTGTACAAATTCATAAACCGATGGTTCGAGTCAGTTTCGGTTTTCTTGTGTGAAAAGCAAAACCGAACCGACTTAGTTCCTACTTAACTAAAAACTGAAATATCTGAAAATATATATTCCAATATCTATATCTAAAACATATATATTATGAAATATGTTAGATATATATTTCCAGAAAATATATATTCCAATATATTTGTATGTATATTTTTGTTTATATATATATATATACATATATATTTCTAAAATACATATTTCAGTTTTAAATATATTTCCAGAAACTAGGTGGCCATGGGGTGCATGGAAGAACTTAGAACCGAAACCGACCCAACCCGACTCAAACCGACCAGGTCGATTTTGCTTAACACTGGGTCGGTTTCGGTTTCCATCTCAGGTAACCCGACCAGGTCGGGTCGGTTGGAAAAACCTCAGTAAACCGACCCATGAACAACCATATTTGAGAGAATGGACCTTCTCTTCCCCTCCCTTAGGAATAAAATCTCATTCCAACTGATTCCAATTCTCATTCCGGTTCATGTCTAAACCAAATAAACTATGAAGATAGACCATTATTACTCCGATTCCAAGGGACTTTAATTTTGACTCCAACGATGAACCAGAAAGGACCCTTAATTTTGAAAAGAAAGCATATAATTTTTTAAATTATACCTATAAATGTTGGAATCATATAAATTGTATAGAATCATGTTGGATATACTTATGCAGAGAAAGAACAATAATTCATTTTTCAATCTATTTCAAATTTTCACGGAGTCAGATTGTTATGTACCTATTTTATTTTATTTTTTTAGGAGAAAACAGTATTGAGTTCATCATATTTTTTTAAATATGAAAAATATGAAAATGTTTTATTATAAAATACTTACATGAATCAAAAGGAGGCATCTTCTTGCATATTTAAAATTGACAGTACTAAGGTGGAATTAGAGCTGAATAATGGAGCAAGACCGTACTTTTCTTGTAAAATAAAAAATAGAAAAAATAATAGTAATGGCTAAACCCATCTATCAATGATCTATATATGTCTATCCATTTATATCCGTATAGGTTTAAGTATTGTAGCTAGGGTTCTTGAAAATCTACGTTAAGACGCGTTAGAAAAAGCCTAATTTATTTACCAAATAATAATGATAAGAATAAATAGTGATTATATTTATTCCCCAAGGAGACCAAACAGGACCCTAGAGGAATAAAAAAAGGGAGAGAGAAAAGAGAGAAGGAGAGTCTACTCGCTACGTGCATTGGGAGGATGAGAATCTATGCGGTGGATGGGTGCGAGGGATGTCGTGTCTGGTCGGACAGTAAATTACAAAAATCAAGTATAAAATCTGCCTCAGCCTCACCCTCGCTGAGTGAGAATTAGGGTTTGATGGATGGATGGATGGATGGATGGAAAACTTAGGGCTGTGTGTGGGTTCTGTGTTAATGTAAACTTTGTAATAAAACTGTAAAAGAGTTGGGGAATCGGGTAGAGGGGAGAAAGCATCGGTGGTTCCAGAGGAAGCTCCGAATGCATGGAGCCAAAAGCAGTTGAATAAACTAATGTACCAGCTCTGTTGTTCATCTTTTCTTTTTATAAATCGGTCTCGCTTCCTGCTTGCCTATGACTTTATTATGTTAATGGAAGCGGCTGTTCCACTCAAAGTCAGCTGGGATGCTGGCTGCTGCACACTGCAGAGACGACCATCACTCTCTCTCTCTGAGCTGCTATAGATATCAAAATGAAAATATTCAATTCTTTGTTCGTTATTGTTTATCTTCTCCCTACCTAGCTACAGTCCCCTCCAGTCTCCAGGTTCTGTACTAGTAATTCTTCATTTGGAACCGGTAATGGCCAGTGTTCGTACCAGTTGGGCTTCAACCCGTAATTAAGCAGTAGTAAGTCTCACAAACATCTATGCTTCTCTCTTCTCCATGAGCGGTGAGGGCTGCTGGGTCATGTCCCCCTCCTCCTTTCTAGATCTCTATAGACCCTAGGCAATTACTCTTGGATTGGAATCTTTGGTTATTATAATTAGGATGATTTGATCAATATTAATTAATAATTTCTCAACAGTATCACGTGGTGATAATGCTGGATTCTAGTACTTTAAATGAAAAATCAAGGAATAAAACTGCTACTTGGTTCTTGTTTCCATAAACAAATTAAAAGAGCCGATGGATGATGATAGATTAGTAAGAATTCACCTTTTCTTCATCGAAATTCAAAAAGATGATTGGACACGTGGACTGCCAACATAAGCCCTGGTTCACTGCAACTAATTGGTTAGTATAGCTAGAATAACAGTGAGGCAAATGTCGCTACCATTTACACTTGAAATTTGATCCTAGTAGTGAGTAGTGTGTACTCATGAGTAGAGTGACCCAACATGGGAGGAATAGATCATAGATGGAGCGAGCCGAGTGGAATCGGAATCTTTGTCTGGAGAAACCGCGTTGGTGTTGGGTCCATTCATCAAGCATCGTCCTCATCATCACCATCATCAAAATCAACATCACGATACCAAGAATTGTCGAGTACCAAACGCCCTCGCTGCAACTCTTTGCTCATACTTTTTATGAATGGATGGATATTGGTGCAGAGAGAGAGAGGGGGGGGTCCCACCCAGAGGTTCACCGTGAACCAGAGACAGGTATCACGGACGTGACCGTAACACGGCCTCGGCAAACGTGACGAGGTCGATCCTTTCCCTCTTCTGCATGCTTAATATATGTAATATAAAAATATAAATATCTGCTCTGCACTTCTCATGCAAAGGGTGCAATTATGTCTTAATCATTTATTCCTGATCAAGGGTTATAAAGGCAAGAGACTTTTTTTTTTTTTGAAGAAATCAAGATTCTCTCTCTCTCTCGTTACGTGAAGTGAAACTGAAACATCCCATCTTTTAACATTTTTGCCTTTTTACCTGTTCTTCTTTATTTTATTTCTTTTTGAAAAATTAGTCCGTCCCCCCCCCCTCAGTCAGTCAGTCTCTCACCAACTTAGAATTAGAGGAGTCTCCATCGTTAATAAGCCATAAAAAGAGAAGAGACACCAGCTTGGTCTACTAAAAATTACAAGAGAGAGAGAGAGAGGCTGCGGTGGCCCAGTTAAGTCTATCGCTGACCGACCTTAAGATGGCGTGTAGGATAAGAAGAGAGGAGGAGTGAGAGAGAGAGAGTGCGAGAGAGAGAGAGAGCGATCAAATATTCTCTTTAGCTTTGATGAGATTTGGTTTTTTCTTCTGAGATTCAAACAAGGGTAAGAGAGATCTGCCGTCTGCGTAAGAAGAGTCCGATTTTGTTGATGAGTTATTCTTATTTATATTTATTATTCTTTTGCGTTTTGTGGGTTTTTGTTGGATTCAAGCTCGAGCTTCGTTTTTTGTTTGTTTGGGCAGAATCGGAGAAGCGGGAGTTGGATATACGAAGTGGTTTATCTTGTTTGTGCTCGCGCGTAGATTGCTCGTCTTTGGAGTTGGAGAAGTGCGAAGCTTTTCGTTTCTTGCTTAATTTGTACGATATTAGTTTTTTTTTTGGAGTTTGGACAGAGCTAATTCTTCGGGGGTGTGGTGTAACTTAACCAAATTAAAAGCAAGGACACCAGCTTTGTTAGTTTGCTTCAATTCAGACATGCAAATGATGTCCGGGGATGGGCTTTCAATTCCCTCTGCAATCAGAGGGTTTCCTCAGCCACCGATTCCAAACCCTAACCCTAATCCTAATGGTACTACCGTGGTCAAGAAGAAACGAAATCTACCTGGAACACCAGGTGAGCCAGCTTTATCATCATCTTCTAGCTTCCTCTTGATTAATTCCTTATCCTAGTCTTCATCCTTGCTTTTCTTCTTCTTCTTCTTCTTCTTCTTCTTCTTCTTCTTCTTCTTCTTTCATGGATCATTTCTTATTTTAGTTTTATTGTTAATGGGTTTTGACGCTTCTAACAGATCCAGATGCGGAGGTCATAGCTCTATCTCCAAAGACTCTCATGGCAACCAACCGGTTCGTCTGCGAAATCTGCAACAAGGGGTTCCAGAGAGACCAGAACCTTCAGCTGCATCGACGAGGGCACAACTTGCCATGGAAGCTTCGGCAGAGAACAAGCAAGGAGATCCGGAAGAGGGTTTATATCTGCCCCGAAAAGACCTGTGTTCACCACGATCCGTCCAGGGCCCTCGGAGATCTTACGGGAATAAAGAAGCATTTCAGCCGAAAGCATGGCGAGAAGAAGTGGAAGTGCGAGAAATGTTCTAAGAAATACGCAGTTCAGTCCGACTGGAAAGCTCACACCAAGACTTGTGGGACAAGAGAGTATAAATGCGACTGCGGAACACTCTTTTCCAGGTACTCTCTTACTGCAAATCTGCATCTGATTTCCATTCTGTTCTTCGTCCTGGCAGAAGCGCTTTAGTGTTTTATTACTTCAACTAATACGTTCCAGAAGAAATAAATGTCACGTAGAATCTTTCATGTCTTTCATTCGAATTTAATGCGATCAGATTCATGGATTATAAAGTACTATGGATAGGATAGCAGCTGCTTTAGAATTTAAAATGGGATTTGTTTGAACTTTGAATTAAACAGGAAGGACAGCTTCATCACCCACAGAGCCTTTTGTGATGCCTTGGCAGAAGAGAGTGCGAGACTCACTTCGGTTGCAGCCACCAACCTCAACTTCAGAACGGAATCCATCAACAACGCCACGTCCACCCTGCCGCATGGGTTCGGAAGCCGAGGAGGACCAGACGCCATTGCTGGTATCCCTTCACTATGCCCAATTTTCAGGCCAGAATTTGCCGGCCCCGAGGCTGCCAATTCCCTCGATGCAAACCGGCAGAAGCCAAGGTTGTCGCTGTGGCTAGATCGGGCCAATTCTCATATGAACCCCATCGATATGGCAGCTAATAATTCTAATGCTTTCTTGACATCGAGTTCCACCGCGGGTTTGCCTGAATTCGTGCAAATGGCATCGACCAATCTCTTCAACTCCTCCACTTCTTTGGTTGATTACGGAGGATGCGTTCAGCCACAGTGGCTTGATAGGTGCTCCGGAGCATCGACAGGTGCCAACCTATCTTTATCAACCTCCCCGCGTGGATTAAAGGAGGAGAATGGAAACAAAGGCCAGTTGGTGGAAAGCTTAGCTTCATTGTATTCCAACAGCCAAAACCAGCAAGCAAACTCAGCACACATGTCAGCGACCGCACTTCTACAGAAAGCAGCTCAAATGGGATCTACTAGGAGCAACCCTTCACTGCTCAGTAGCTTTGGAGTGGGGAACTCTTCTTCCTCAGATACCACAAGCTTCAATCCTCACACTCAGACTAGGAATGACTTCCATCAGTTACTCCGGCAAGCGAAGCAACCGGAGAACCTTAATGAGCTTATGAATTCGATATCAACGGCAACCGCCACCACTGGTGTTGGTGGTGGAATGATGGGTGGGTTGAATTTAAGCTCATTAACTGATACAGCAAGCAACCTCGACCGCCTGATGATTGCACATAGTGGAAAACAAGGCCAACCGTTTCCATTAAAGCTCCACCCGACTGCAAACGAAGTCGAACAAAGTCTAACAAGAGATTTCCTAGGCGTAGGAGGAGACTCTGGCAGGCCATTCTTACAGCATGAACTAGCAGCGAAATTTGCTTCGATTGGTTCAGCCATGAATTTGAGCCAATACAATGGCACCCACTAAACCAAATTGTAACTATGGTTTGGCAATTATCCTGGTTGTACGATATAGTTACAAGCAGCTAGCAGCTTTAGGATAGTAGAAAACTAGATGCAGCGAGAAGGCCTTAAAGCCTTGGTTACCGAGTCAGACTCGGTCCAAGCAAAATGCAAAGAATTTTAACAGCGACTACTGATGTTGTGCTAGAGAGAGAGAGAGAGATGCCGTATTAGTGATGAATGACTGACTGAATCGTCAGAGACGAGTTCCGGGGGGCGGGGGACAGTTGTCAGTGCAGGTGAAGCAACTAGGCAATCAGGAAAGTCATCGGAGTCGTGCGTGTTGTTGTTTATCTTCTTGCTTTTCCGTCATTTCTTCTGTTGAAATTAAACAGCGCGAACCGCAAGATGCCTTGACCGTCGGTCAAAGTAGTACTCCGGCGATCATGTCAACGCTGTCTTTGGCGCGTTTCTTGCAAATTTTCTCACTTAGTATAGTTGCATTACTTTTCTTCTCTTTCTTATTTTGATTCTTTCGTTTCAGCTACGTCTCTAAGCTATAATCAAACTTTAATCTCAAATGAGTAAGGAGTGTGTTGAAAATCCGTTATTGTTGTTCTCGTGCTTGTTCTTCGTCCAGCCCCAATAAAAGCAGTTGACTGAACTGAACTGCTGGGTGGTCAGAGTGACCATTCAGACTTTAATTTGCTCTGATTTCATTACAAACAAGGTTGAACCAGATAAAGGGAATGAAAGCAAAAGCCGGAAAACTTTGGATGGGAATGAAGTTGCTCGGCCCACCCGGATCACCGGCTCTCACAAAATGCAGTTAATTAGGTTCGAATTTGGATGCATGCGGCCTAGTGAAGTTCATTTAAAACCTTATTACACAGATTCTTCAACAAAAAAAATAAATAAATAATTATCCAGAAGGGAATCACTATCTCTTAGTTAATTTATAACTAATTAACTAGGATTTAGGACAAGAAACTGCTTTTTCCTTTTTTTCCTTCTTTAATTTGTACTGTAATCCAACTCAGTTTAATTGTTTGCGGTGTAAATTTCATTGGCAAATGAGTTAAATGCATGGAATGTAAATAGACTAAGTGTAAATTCTGGTTCAGAGTTGATTTTGTTTTATTTGTTTGTGAGAAGTGAAATAAAGTAGTCCCCACATTATATAAAAGAGAATGGAGGTAGGATGAGGGTTATTTGTTTAATAGTGAGGTTAGAAGCAAGATGATGTGGTCCCCATTTTATATGAGACTAGAATTGAAGTTGGAAGAAGGTAGAGCAAATTTTGCATCAAAGTGATTGCAAACGAGGGGTCATTTGTTAAGATATGAATCTCACTCATTGGCAGTGAGAGTATGGTTCTGGATTAAACCACCTTTTTTTTTAACCACAAAACAAACACTACCTTAGTTTGTAGACAATTTGTCCTGCTCCTTTGTCTTGAGGATTTGTAAGTACTTAATATATTAATCTGCTTGAAGAAAAAGGATCACTACTAGGAGATATTTTAACAAAGTTTGAGTCTATCCTTCTATCCTATCGTACTGCTAGGGGTTAAACTCTTTGAGCTTGTGGAATTCATTCGAAATGTTATTTTCATTAGAATGTAGATGAGTAAATTTGTGAGGCAGTCTGCTTCCAGATATTTCAACATTCAGATGTTCAAACAACACAACTGCATTCAGAGCCAAAAGGCAAATTTTAGCTATTCAGACTTCAGAGCCACATCGTTCTTTCTTGCTTTCTCCGGCATCAATTTTCAATTTTACCAAACGACACCTGAGACACAAAAAAAGTACAAATTTTGTATCAAGTACAAGTGTAAATCATGGTTGCAAATAAATGAAAGCAAAACTGAACCAGTTGCAAAATTTGTATTGGGTTCTGATATGCACTGCAAATAAAGAAAAAACATAATGTACAAACGCATGCGGTCATACACCACATCCACATCCACACACACATATACACAAAGCTTGGATGGGTCCAGATGGTAGTATTCCAAGTCGAGTCCGGATCTCCTGCACATTCGTTCCTGTAGAACTTCTTGTACATCAAATCAGAAGGTGCCATGTCACCACCCTCTCATGCTTAAATCTCACATGTGCGAGTGGGAGTAACAAATGTTTCAAACATCCTCCCATCTTGTTTTGAATATATTAAAATTCTAAAACAAATAAGAAAACAGAAGTTAGGGCTTCTTCTTCCTACTTCGTTCGAATAAAAACAAGAGTTTATAGAGGTAAATATCCCTAAGAAGAAAAAACCACGAGTAAGAGTTCTGACTTCTGAGAATTGAATGCCTGAGGCTGAGACGATTCTCGAACTTTTACAAGATTACCAACTAGAATCAACAATCGAGGTAAGGTATTGAATTGAACAAAAAATTAAGAGCAATGACATATGTTCTATATTTCGTTGATAGATCCCTATATTTCATTGATCCCAATTGGTGTTTGGTTTACTTAACAGCATCAAGTGAGATATGAGAGAGAATTACCTCAGCCATGCATTTGATTATCTAAACCCTTAAGGAGACGGAAATCCAGAAATAAGAAAACAATTGAAACATAAAGCTTATTTGAGTTTCAAATCTTGTGAAAATCGGTGATTGTTGAATGATTCTCTACAAGGACGAATGTATAGGAGATCCTGTGATCCCAATTGAGGTTTTGTTGATAGTTAATACTTAACAGAAGAGTGAAAGATATGAGAGAAAGTTGTTCTAGACAGGCGTTTGATCTTCTGAACCCTTATTCCTGTTTTTCTTCTAGGGATGTTCTTTTTTTTGGATTTTGAGAGGGGGGAATTAAAGTTGGTCAATGGGATTTTGATTCCCATTGACCAAGAATCACATGTTCATTTTTCAGATTAATGTAAGGACTAGGGGAAGTTTATTTTCCTAGGTAAGTGATACTCATCGAGGAAAGTTGCTAACACTTGATTGGGGCAAAAATGCCCCTTTTAGTAATGGATTTTTATGACCAAAACGATCATTACTTTATTATCTGAAAAATAAAAGAACATGGGTAAATGCACTTAGGCAGGTAAGTGTTTCCCAAGAAAAACTTACCCAGGTAATTGTATTTACCCTAATAAGTTACTTACCAAAAAGTGAATAGGGGCCTAGTGTTATTGATCAGTTCGTTCGTTGGAGAAAGATTTAAACAAAAAAGGAAGAATAAACCCTTTTAACCTCTGTTTTTCATTTGTTTTAGAATTTTATAAATTTTAATATATTAAAAACAGGATGGAAAGACGTTTGTAAAGTTTGTTACTCCCACTTGCACATGTGAGATAGAAAGCTCTACGGGGATGGATGTATAGGAGATTCGGACTCTTCTAAGTGACCCTCCTTCAATAAGTCACACCACCAGTCACTACTTGCAGGATGAGCCTTTCTATTCAACTCTGTGTATATATGGGAACAATTGGTGTCAAGTGGAACATGTGTGATGTAGACGATGGAAACCATGCATATATCTGGTTAACCCAGTTAGATACGCAGACGGATTAGGACCAGCTTTGCCAGCCCTCCACGTACGGAAGATGCCTATTTATAATTAACTCCAAGATTCAAAAGTGGAAGCTTGATCAGCGCAGAATAGCTATTGTTCCTCTTAACCTACAGAAAATTTTCTATCTGAAACTTCCCAGTATGGAGATTATCATATGAACGAAAATCGATATCAAACTTAAATTAAAAATTAGTTTAACTCAAATATTAAAAGACAATAGTTCCATCTGGATCGGATGGAGTTATGTTGAGGTGGGCCGGCTCTAATCAAGTCGGTTAATTTGATTGAAATTGATATGATATTGGATATCTGTTGCAGAAAAGACGCAGCTGGTCGAAGCTTCGTGGTAGGTTCATGCAGGCATATCTTGGCCGACCTTACATGGATTAAGAGGAAAGAGTAGTACTCTCATGTATGCTCTCATGCACAATTACATGTTATGACTTATGATCAGAGCTCAGCATCCCTGCAAATATTTCTGAAACAGTCAAGTCTCTGCAACTTTTTGTCTTCTGTTACCTGGCTTTCAACAGCTAGCGCTTTATATAAAGTAATCAACGACAGCCAGAACTTTTGGCTAAATCTCCTGATCAACAATTGGTTGCCCTTTTTTACATTAGTTCTGGAGAAGATGAAGAGAGGAAAAAAAGCGAACGAGTCTGCTGGACAACCTGGCCCAACTTGAGCCCAGTGATGTGTCTTTATTTACGCTACGCATTAGCAACAATGTGGTCGTTTCTTGAGATCGATATTACCATAACTGAGTTGATTCTGGTCCTTCTTCCTCCCTGGGCGTAATTCGTCTCCCCAGTTCAACTGGTTGTGCCTGTGAAAGCCTGTGAGTCAGAGAGCTGCGGGGCATGAAGAACTGTCTGACCTTAACCCGATTCTTGTCACATGTCAAGATTGATGATTATCAACGGATAAGGTTTCTTACTCGAAGTAACTGTAAAATACTAAAATCTGATGATGATGCTTAATTACCGCTGAACCATTGATAATAAGTTATTCGTGGTGGTGTCATTTTATTCAATGACCAGAATTACACGGAGATGAAAGCTTCGATTTTGGTTCATCGGTCGGGATTGATTGGCCTTTTTAGGGGTGAAGAAAGATGAATATTCCCGAAATGTTTCGTGGGTCCACTCACCCGAGTTTTGTGGCTTGCTGTTTTCTGCCTCGAATCTCGGAAAACATCTGACTGGAAGATGGATGTCGTAGAGTCACCTCTATATATAATTATTATTAACCCAAATGTTTAAAACTCATCTTCCGTTGCCTGGTTAGAATCGTTAAGAAATTTATGATTATACTGGAGTTCAACACTAATTGATTCGGTCTCCCTTACTTTTTCAATCAGTATGCATGAACCAACCCTTACCTAACCTGTAAAAAAAACGGAAAAAAGACGACCATTTCAGACTCCTCGCTCATGGGGGATTGATCGATGTTACGTTTGATCAAACAACTTGAAGTGAAGGAATGGCAACGAGAGATGAGTTTAAATGAGATGCATAGGAAGAATCAAAGCTGGGATATATATATATATATATATGATTAAAGAGAAAAAGAAAACAAGAAAGATAAAAGGTTGTCTTGAGGAAGAATGTTTCGTAGTCCAATAAGGACTTTTGAAAAGTGCATTTCGGGCTTGCTTCTAATGTGTTGTGATCGAATAACCTATGGCCATGGTTTTTCTTTGGGTATCGAGAGGCTAAACAACTTTTTTCCTTTGGTTGTAAATTAACCCCTTGGAATCGTGTGCATTGTAAGGATTAGAGCTTCTAAAATGGCAACCAATTCCTAGAAAAATGAATAAAAAATATAGGTAGTTCAATACATCTATATGTCTAAATTGGATTGATCTATCTTTATTTTTATTCATGAAAGTAGCTTTACACAGTCCACTTGCTAACTACTATTGCTTGGTTTCTTGGGGATTGCTTGGGATTGTATCCATAAAAATAATTTAATTTGGAGTCAACCATGCATCGTTCCAAGGAGTTCTTGCTTTTTCTAGTTAAAAAATTCCTTTTATTATCAATTTTATGGAACATGGATTCTGCCTTCTA